AATCAGAAGCCGGTGATGGTGCTTTAATATCCAGACGCCTCTTGATGCGTGTAGTATGCTGAAGATCAAGGGTAGGCCACTGTGTGTCTGGATCATGACTTTCAGTTTGAGATTCTTGAAATGTAACTCCTGCAATGTCTACCTTGACTGGGCTCTGCTTCTCTATGTGGCCTGTTGTTTCATCCTCACTGTCACTACTAGAAGATGAATCACGAGTCAGGTCGATGGTGCTTTGATACCTCCACACGCTCGCTCTGACGCGTTAGTAACGCTGAAGATCAGATTGGGTAGGCACTGTGTCTCACTGGATCATGACCTTCTTAGCTTTTGAGATTCTTGAAAATTCGAATTTTTGCAAGTGTCACTTTGACTGGGCCTCTGCTTCTCTTATCTTCTGACCCTGTTGTTTCATCTTCACTGTCACTACTAACAAGATCGAATCAGAGAGTCAGGTGACTGGTGCTTTTGATATCCAGCATGCCTTCTGATGTCCGTGTGTTATGCTCCAGATCTAGGACACGGGAGCCCGACTGGTGTTCGTCGCTGGTCCATCAGACTTGACAGTGGTTGAGATTACCTTTTAATTGAATGACCTGCTGCCCGACCTGTACTGTCTCCGTCCTTGCCTCTCTGTTTCTTAACTGGGGTTTGATTGTTTCTATTCCTCACCTGTCACTACCTAGAGAGATGAATCAGAGTCCAGTGACCTGGTGGCTGTTAATATCCAGACGCGCGCTCTTGACGCGTTGTGACGCTGAAAGATCAAGGGTTAGGGGCCACTTGTGTGTCTGGATAATGACGGTTCAAGTTTGAGACACTCTTGATATGTGACTACTACAATGTCTACCTTTCCTGGGCTTCGGTTTCTCGTATGCTGGCTTGTTGTTTCAATCTTCCACCTGCTCACTCCATCTAGAAGATGGAATCAGAGTTCAGGCTGATGGTGCTTTTGATATCCAGAACGCTTCTTTGATGCGTGAGTATGCGCCTGAACCGATCAAAGGGTCAGGCCACTGGTGTGGTCTGATCATCCGACTTTTAGTTTGAGATTCCTTGAAAGTTGACTTTGTGCAATGTCACCTTTGCCTGGGCTCTCTTCTCTAATGTGGCCCTGCTTGTGTTCATCCTTTCACCTGTCACAACTACGAAGATGCAATCAGAGTCAGGTCGATGGTGCTTTGCCATGCAATCCACGATGCTTCTTGATTGGCGTGTGGTACCTGCTCAAGATCTAAGCACAGGCCATCTGTTTCTGTGGGTCATCGACTCTAACAGTTTTGAGAATATTTTAGCATTGGATGGCGCGTTGCCATGGATTCCCTCTTGCTCTCTGCTTTCTTAATGCGGGGCGCTGGGTTATTGTCTTCAGCCTCACTGTCACTACTAGAAGATGAATCAGCAGTCAGGTGACTGCTTTCCTAATACTCCACGACGACCTCTCTGACCGCGTGTAGTAATGAAGACTCACAGGTAAAGGCCCACCTGTGTTGTCTGGATCCAATCGACGTTCACTTTGAAAGATTGCTTGATATGTAACTACTCCAATGTCTACCTTCTCCTGGCTCTGTTCTTTTTATGTGGCACTGTTGTTCATCGTTCACCTGTCACCCTATTAGAAGATGCAATCCAGAGTCAGGTGACCCTGGGTGGGCTGTTGTCTTCGGTACTCCAGCGACGCTTCTGAGTGCGTGGTACGGATGCTCGAAGGATTCACAGGCGTCAGGCACTCGCTGTGTCTGGATCATCGACTCTGAGACTTCTTGAAAACGAATCACCTGCAATGTCCACCTTCTGCTGGGCTCTGCTTGTCTTCAGTCCACTGGACCCTACTAGAAACTCGCCAACTCCAGACGTCAGGTGATGGTGCCTGATTGATAATCCAGCATCGCCTATTGATTTGGGGGATGCTTTGGCGATTTAGGTCTGCCAACAGTGTTTCTGACTCAGACGGCAGACGGTCTTTGCCCGCTCCTGTATCTGTTTCTTGTTTGACTGTGTAGTCCTCCCCATCACTGTCGCTTGAATGAGAGGACAAGGAGTGCTCTGGTCTCACTGCATGCGTTAGTTTGTCATATCTGTAATCATCATGATTAAATCCCACTGAAGGCCTGATGGGATCTACACCATGGTTCTGTTGAAAACTAGCATCTTGTTTAAGGCAAGCATTAGTGACAGGTTTATTGTAGTTCCTTTCTATATCCTCCTCTTCCTCTTGGTCTGAGTTCACAGTGTATTTTGTAGGCTCATCCTCACTGACATATGAGCTGGAGCTGGACATATCATCCCTCTGCTGTTTATCTAAACTGGGTGCCACAATCAGTTTTGAATCCTTAAAAGAACCACACACACTGCTGGACCTTGGAGACATGCTCCGAACAGAATCACTAAATTCAAATTGTTCTTCATTCTCCTGCCACAGATCAGGGTCTGTTTGGTTTGAGCTCTTTGTATGTGGTGACCAGTCTGCAAAGGGCACAGAAGAAAATCCAGGAAGTTCACTTCCCTCTATAGAAATTTGTCGCACCTCTACTTTTCTTGCTGGTGACAAACCAGATCTTTGCTGAACAGAGTCCTCTGCCAGCTGAGGAGACTTTGGTGTTGTGTGATCTCCCTCTGCCATTTGGTCTTCATATACTTCAGATAGGGAAGAATCCGAGCATGAAGAAAAGCTTCTCCTCTTTTCCAGCTCAACAGGGTCTGGGATGTGTTCAAACTCTATGTCGTGTGTGTGGCCTGCATCAGTGATGCCTGAGAGGTTTCTGCAGTCTTTCTTGTTTTCCTCTGGACTACTTTGTCGTAAGCTGTTTTCACTTCCTGAATCTCCAGCTGTATGTGTATCCTTATCAGCCATAGCTGCTTCACATTCAATCACTGTATCATTATTAATGCTTTCCTGATCGCCACTGGCTACAGTGTCATAATATTGTACATTGCTGTTTTCTATAAAGTCTACAGTGCTAAATGTGACTCTCCTTTCCCTATGAGTGCCTGTCTCTTCTGGTTCCTCGCCATTGGCGTAGGCCTCATTGTCATATTGTCTTTGTTCTACTGTTGAAACAGAGTTGGTTTCAGGGGAGCTTTTCTTGTTGGTGACCTTTCTACAAAGAACATCTATACAAGGTCTTGCTAGGACTCCTAGGATGAACGCTATCAGAAATGTGATGAAAACAGACAGACAGACAGCCAGAGCCAAATTAGAATGTGTGGCTGTCTGATTCCTTACTTGACCTATTTTATTTAGGGTGCCTTGTGAAATTATTTGTTGGCTGGTTCTGGGTAAACTTCTAGCGTTTCTTTTCGCACCTCCTATTTTACTGATTTGGAGATTAAAAACAGACAAATCTTCACGTTCTTCAGACAGACACACATATAGTCCTGTGTCTCTCTCTGTGATGTCATTGATGAGTAGACCAGCCTGAGGTTGGCTTACAGAGGTTTGACCACTGGGCGTCCACCACATTGAATCTACAAAAAAAAAAAGACATTGACATGCAGTTGGATTGACCTACATAGTTCTGTATTACCAAGTTATTTTACACTTTTTTTGACTGTGTTACCTTGTGTAGAGCAAGACAGCAGTATCTCAGAGCCACTATAGACAGTCACATCTTGGTGGACCTCTGGCCTATTTTCAGTACTAAAACAGTTAAGGTCATCCTCCTCCAAATGTAGCAGGTCTCTTCCTGAAAGGATGGAAGGGGAAGCACACACCACACTCCAGGCCTGCAGGCCTCTGCTGTTGTCATAGGCCATCCGCCTTCTTAGACTGCGCATACTGCAATCACACTGCCATCTGTTCCCACCCAGTCTAACATGCGCCCCAATGTTACGCAAAGAAACGTACATCAAAGGATGGAGACTGGTCAACATGTTGAAGCTCAGATCAAGGACCTTTTAAGGGGGACACAACATAGACATACAGCAGATGTTGAGATGTGTAATTTAATTGTTAAAACAATTTAATTAAAAATTCCCGAAATAAAAGCTCCATTATCTTTCTGTTGGACAATCCTTTCCTGAAAATGACTAAATAAAGAATGTGTGGTATCACTGAGTTTATTGTTGGAATACTAAATTGTCTGTGTATTTTTTTAATAAATTAGATTTAAAAAAAACTGTGTTACCTGGAGCTGGGCTAACTCCTGAAACATCTGTGGATGGAGACTTGTGATGAGATTATGTTGCAGGTGTAGCTCTTTTAGCTGCCGAAGGTGGCTGAGGTCTTCTTGTCGTAAAGTTGAGATCCTATTAAAGGAGAGCTGCAGAACCTGTAATGACTCACTACCTTCCAGCCCTGGATGACAGAAAACAAGAGCTGTAATTAGAACTCAACAAGAACCACGTTACAGGTTTTCATTGACAACAGAGGCCAGTCAGTTTCTTCTCATTCCTGTACTGCTTTACCTTATTCACTGTGAATGCAAGGTGAAAAATGTCTTTTAGCTATGAAGTTGATTTGTTTGAGTACTGCAGTGTTCCTGATGCTGAGATTAAATAATGTAAACTACAGCCCTCTTACTCTCTCACTCTGTGGACTTCTATATAGTGAATAGTGTAAAATGTTTGAATCCAACATCCCTTTCCTAGAATATTAATCCAGATTCTTATTTTCACCGAAAACACTACAACACAAGATGACTAATTAGGGGCTAAGAATGTTCCTGTGGTACTCATTCTACCCTGCTGTCTCCCCCTTTTCACTAGCCAGAGACAGTCTCCCTGAGACTGCTGGGTTGAAGTAAGCCACTGTGGATCTGTGCTTCATTAGAGTGGCACTGAGGGTTCTGTGAGCTGAATACCAAACAGGAAAGAAGTCTATGACTGTCAAGACAGCTCTTGCTGAGTAAATGGGCTGTCCACACATGCCTTTAATACAACCATAGTGAAAGCATGTCTTTGAAACACACATATATTCAACAAGGCAGAGGGAATTCTATGAAATCCCTTGATGCAAAGGAAAACGTAAGAGTTGTACTGTGTAATGTTTACATGTTTCTTTGAGCTACTGGAATGTCAATAAAAACTGACTGGCTAAAGGGTGTACAGTGTATTATCTTGGGAGGTTTAATCATTTCTGAGTGGAGCAAAGTACTTAAGATAAAGGATCAATGAGAGGGTTGGTTAGATGTGAGAATCAAATAAAAGGACAGTAGCAATTCACATAGCTCACAGATTTATTCTACGATATGGAGGTTAGTAGACCTCAGACTAACTTTTTAGGCTGAAATTGGCTAAATAAATATGCCTAGTCTGACTATCTGACTATCTGACTCATGGACATTTCTCAACAGCACTCCAGAGGGCAATTAAAGGTGTGCATCATGTTTACTGGGCAATTTAACTATCAGGTACATAACCTTTAACCCCTAAACCATCACCCACACACAAAAACAGTTTAAAAAAAAGACACATTCATGTGTAATTTGATAATGTAATAATCAAATTGTCTAGGCCAGGGATCAGGTCACAAGATAAATCACAAGATGATAAATGGGACAAGAAAAACATTTTTAAAAACCCAAATTTCTTAACATACACACACAAAGAACATTGTACAAGCATTTTGGTAGAAACAGTTAGGCCCCATCAAGGTAGGAATTCATTAAGAGTGGGTGTCCACCTCCTGTTTATACTCCTTAGAGATACTACAGTTTATATCTTGAGTACACACCCAGACAATATACATTCCATGAGACTGTTTAGGCTTACAACATATTGGGTGTGGTGTATAAGTCATTATAAGGTAGTTACCAATATTGTTAAAACTATACTGTACATTTCAAGTCTGAGAATGACTGCCTACTCTTTTTCTACTGATTTTAGTAGCTTAAGATTTTGTGATTAGAATCAGAATCAGAATTGGGTTTATTGCCAAGTAAGTTTACACATACGAGGAATTTGCCTAAGAATCACAAAAAATCAAGTAATTTTTAAATATAAATAAAAATAATAATAATATAAAAATAATGGTAATGTGTAGGATTAAATTATAAATAAAAAAAGCTGTAGAATTGAATAATCCTAGATGATCAGTTTAGTAAAATATGATGCATTGGTATAGTTTAAAAGAAAATGTCAAGTAACTAAATTAGCTCCACCTTGACCAACTACAGCATTTAAGTGCTGCTTACACGTAGCCTCATCAATAATAAAGGTCCTATAGTATAATGATATAACAATAACAGGGGCAAATGTTTAAGCTACCTTTACTAACGTAAATGATCTGAATGGTTGATAAATAAATTAAAACCTGATTATTAAGTTAATGAACAGACACTCTACTTTCATGCACTGAATATATAGATAACAGATGATATGGAAGTGTTTGAGAGTGTTTGATATGTTGTGAAGATACTTCTAAACCAGACTGTTCACCCGTGCAAGATCTTTATCCCAATCAATAGTAAAGACATTTTAACATGTAACAGAACACAATTTCTTTGTGCTGATATCACTGGAAGCTATGCTTATTATACTGTTAATGTGCTGTGATAGGATTTTATATATGGGTGTATAACCATATTACACCTGACTCACCCTCTGGGAGTTGCTCTAGCTGATTCCTCTCAACAGAAAGGAGCTGCAGGGTGGGGGCCCAAGATACACATCCCTGTTTGCTCCAAGGTCTCAAGCGATGTAGATGTCTGCCACTGACATAACGGCCTCCCAGCTTTCTCTCGATGCAGAGGGACAAGCGTGTGATACTATTGTTTCCCAGCCATACATTCTTGAGGTTACGATGCGGTTGGTCGAGTGTTACAGAGTCAAGGAGGTTATGAGACAAGTCTAGCTCGGTGACAGAGTCTTGGATGCCTTGTGGCACCAGGGAAAGGCCAGAGGAGGAACAGTTCAACAGGGGAGCTCTCTGGCAGGTGCAGGGCTCTGGGCAGGCAGGTAGGGGAGAGGAGCGATGAAGCCCCAGGGAGACAAAAAGCAGCACAGCAGCCAAGAACGGCCCCTGTGCCACTGCCATCGCAAGCCGTCAACCTGAGGGTACAGATACATCATGAATAACAGAAACAAATAAGGTCAATTTTTACCATTAGGATATGTTGTATGAAAGACAGTACAATCAATACTACAATCAGTACTACAATCAAATGCCTCATCAGTTATTCATTAAATTAAAAGAAATCCATGATGTACAATAAACAAACAGTAAATTAACCAAAAACATCAAACTCACCTGCGTATCCACTCTCTGACAAGCTGACAGGAAAACCTGACTCTTTTCACACCGAGTGCTTTCAGTGTATTAACTTTGTCTCCAGCAGTTCTGATCAAAGTCTGAAGAATATTTCGCTGCGTCGAGCTTAACATGCACTAACCCAAATGCCATTCAGTGATTCATTCAATCATTTACATGTCTAGTTAATGTCTTACTGTCATTGTTTTCCTCTTTATGTATGTTAGATAACCACAATCCTGAGGGTTTATGGCAAGGAGGACCATGCCCACGGTTGCACATTCTATTAGATAATAAAACAGCATAATGAGGCACAGTATTCTTTTATGACTTTAAATGAACATGTAAACACCTGAGACATTTACTGAAACCAAGGATAAGAAGTTTCACATAGCAACTTGTTTCTTTATTGAAACAAACATAGCAATGAAATGTTGGACAACTTTTCAAATACTTTTCATTTAGTTGATGAAAACCACTCTCACAACAGGCTTTGTGATACTTTATGATATTTCTCAACAGCAGCACTCTTATAAAACAGACAAGACAACCCAAAGCAAAATGAAAGTCAAATCTTTTATACTATATTGCACAAAAGTCAAACAACTCAATATAGGCTTAAAACCAAGCTACTGATTATTTAAACTTTCCTGACATTCATAAACATCAACATTTAAAGAGATTTGCATTAATCTGTAGCATAACTTAGTGCACTCGCTCTCGTTCTGTTTTTCAATACTGTATTATTTCGTTGTCATTGTTCAAAATTTGAATATTACATATATATTATATTCTATATCCTCCCTTGTAAATCCATTGGCACGTGCATTATAGACAATCCAAAATGTGCAGAAAGAGACCTTCTCTGCTTACTGGATGGCTTAAAATGTATCTCATGTTTTACACTTTATCCCAAATTTAATAACACACAAATCAGTATAATCATGTAGTGTCTCACCCTTGTCAGTGAATATTATAAAGAAAATATCAAACACAGCTGCCAGAAACAATGAACAGCAAATAATATCATACACAACCCGTCTGCAAGGTTTGTAAATTAGTAACACTGGACGGTAAGGCAAAAAGTAAATACTGTAGCTTCTAACTCCAATCAATGGGCAATGTAAACCCCTGATATGGCATTATACATTTTAGATAAAGTTGGCAAACCTGCAGAACAATAAAAACACTTTAGCACTTACATCTGTTAATATCTTTGGCCATGTGGCAATGAGCTGTAACACAATTCCTGTTTGGCAACAAAATCAGGAGCACAGAATTAATCAGGTGAGGAGGTATTATTATGTGCAAGTAATGAATGGCCTATAAAATGTTCTACATACACACATTTGTAATCTGACATCAGTGGTGACAGATTGTGGGGGGATACAGTAGATTCCAGTCAAGTCTCCTAGTGAGCTTTTCTACATGGGTTATCTGAAGTCTGGCAGCCCATATTGTGATATTTCACCTGTACACGGAACAGAGTCCCATCTGCACACATGCAGAGCTTGTACCTCTCCAGACCTTCATCGAAATACACATCTCCGGCGGAATTGGGGATGCGTGTAGCGTTGAACATGACTGACCCATTGAGGATGATGCTGTTCTCCTGCAAAGAGAAAACCCATCCATCCTTACACATTCATCTTCATTAGCTTTAAACTGTATTCATGCAACACTTATTTTAAAAGACTGCAGCGGCCCAGGGTTCGAATCCGACCTGCGGCCC